GAGTTTTAGTGGATGAAAGCACAGAGCATCTTGAACCTGGACTGCCTTCTCTCAGAGGACTGCCCTGAGGGTTAAGTGGTGTCTCTCAGGTTCAATATATACAACACTGTATATTTTGGAAACCAAGAATTGTCAAGTTTCCATCATTATAGAAACACAAACATAGTCAATAAATAATCATTTATAAAACATTTTCTATGTAGCAGGTACTACACTAGTATACAGGGACCAAAAAAAAAACCCAGTCTCTGATTCCAACAAAACTTACAATATCTAGGAGGAGACAACATGTATACCTATAAGTAGGTATAAAATACATACAAAGAAAATAAAAGGTAAATACCAGGTAACTGAGGGAGGTTCACCAACAGCTGGGGGCATCAAGAAAGGTTTAATGTAAAAGGTAGCACTTGAACTGAATCTTGAAGAAAGGCAAGGATTCTCAAGGTGAAAGTAAAGAGACAATGTATTCCAGACATGGTAGACAACCTCTGCAGAGACATAGAGATGGGATGTGAAAGGTTGTGTATGATGGATAGAAAGCAGGCCAAGTTGGCTGGTCTAGAGAATGCATAAAGAAAATAATGTGTTATAAGTCTAGAAAGGTAGGCTGGAGTCAAATTATGAGGGACTTCAAATGCTAAACAGGGCAATTTGTATTTTAGTCAATAAAGCAATAAGTAGCTACTGAAAGTTTTTGAGCAGGGAGTAACACGATCTGATGTGATTTTGGAATATCACTTTGATAATTTTGTAAACTAACAGATTGAAAAAGGGTGAGACTAGAAGTATAGAGAGCAATTAGGAGGCTATTTCACACTGGCTGGAGAGATAATAAAGGCCTGAACTAAGGTGGTACGATTGGAGTGAATAGAACACGACAGATATGAAAGGCATCATGTAGGGAGAATTAACAAGACTTGATAACTACTTGGATAGTGGAGATGATGAAGAGACAAAGATTATTCCAAGGTGGTAGACCTGGGTGACTGGAAGAATAAGCATACAAAGACAAAAACCAAAACAAAACACCATCTCTGCCTCTAAAGAGTTTACAGTATATAGGAGGAGACAACATATATACGTATAAGTAAATATAGAATATATACAAAATGTATACTCCTAACCAAGATAGGGAATTTGTAAGTATCATCTTAAAATTCAAATAATTGTTTGTATCATAGGGAATGAAAATGGGAAAAATTTTGCTTTAGTGCTTGATTTAAGGCTAAATGACCATTTTTATGGTATGTTAAAGAGAAATTCTTGTTCAAGTATGGGTTCAGGCCCCTGAAGTCCTTACCAATGCTGATATTCTTTGATTTTGTGACTGAAGCATTATTTTTTTAAGTGTAGAAACAGAGAATTGCTTCTCAAATCAAGTGATTTGTCCACAGTCCTACAATTTGCATATCAAAATAATGATGTTGAATGGGGGAAGGGAGGTGAAAGAGGGAATGTGGGAAAAGGGATTTGTTTGAGAACAATGATAACAAGGTCTATTTGAGGCATCTTGAGTTTGAGATGCTTGAGGAACACATGTTTGGAAATATCCAACATATAGACACTTGGTAACATAGGTCTGGAGCTCAGGAGACATACTAGGGCTGGATATATAGATTAGGGCATCATCTACATAGAGATGATAATTCAACTATTGGAAACTAATGGAGATAGACAGACAGATAGATTGACAGAGAAAGACAGAGGCAGAGAAGGAGACAAAGAAGACCTAGGATGGAGGCTTAAAGTATACCCATAGTTAAGGGACAAGACACAGATAATTTTCCAGCGAAAAAATATAGAAAACTTTTTACTTTTCAATTTTTTTTATTGCATAATGAACCTAACAATAGAAGCTCACTTTTATATAGTGCTTTACAATTTCCAAAGTGCTTTTCTCACAACAAGACTATAAGTTAGGTAGTACAGTAGAATTATCATCCCCATTAGACAAATGCAGAAACTGAGAATCCAAGAAGTTATGTGACTTCCCCATAATGTCAGATCCTAAAAGAAAGTCCAGATTTTCTGAGTCCGATACCAAAGCTTTTGTCACTATACTACATTGTTTCTCAAAATTCTCTAATGAATATAATTATCTCTAATCTGTAAATAAATTGTAATGCACAAACTACCCAATGCTAATTATAGTAATGTGTAACATTTGCAATTTGTACGTGCTTTATGTTTTTGAAAACATCTTAACAAGATGAAAACAAAGCTGTTTTAAGAATCCAGCCTTTCAGATTTTCATCTTTCAATTCAATTTTCAACATCCTTTTATTGTATATCAACTACATGCAAAGCACAATAGTTCACTCCTTCCCAATACACATATGTAACTGCACTCCACAAGCTGACTTAGGGAAGGAAAATATTCCTGGAGGTTAGCCCAACTAATTTTCCAAAGGAAAATAAAGCAGAGAAGTGAGGTCATTATCCAGTGAATTTAGGCTCCTTCCCGTTTCTACCTCTCTGTATTTCATGTACTTGGGGACTCTAATGCTTTGGTGCATCTATGATGCTATTAGTGTGAGTCCTCTATGCCATTGCCAACTGCCACCATGCCATACTCCTCATACTGCACAATTCTTATCCATATGTTAAAAAAAAATGCTATGTAAAGCATCTACTCAAGATGCCCAGAGGCCTTTCCTCATGTCAATCTCTTTGCTCTCTCATTTTCAACTTTTGTCAGTTTCAAACAGGAAAATCTTTTTTCCCCAACACTACTTGCTAATGTCTGTGTTTCATCAGTAAAGAAAACAAAACAAAACAAAAATTCCCCTTAATTGTGACTGAGTTAGTGCTAATGATAGGAATGAGCTGTCTTCCTGCCCCACTTCTGCATCTAGTAAGAAGAAAACCATACTTTCTATAGTGAACATAAACATAGTTTTTTAAAATTCCATAAATCCCTAAAGACCTTGAAAAGTACACAGAAGTCCCCAATAGTATCATACAAAAATATCCATCAACCTTCTCATCTTATAATTTCTATATTTTAATATACAGTCTTGAGCATTTCAAATGAAATTTGTAAATTTTTTTCTAATTTAATTATATTGCATTTCTACTTTGTCTAATTATCTATATTGCAATAATATTGTTTTCTACTGTTTTTCCACTGAGAAATATATTAATTATACATTATGAAATGATAAAGTACTTCATCATCTGGCCTTGGAATTGAAATATAATATCTAACATTGCTTCTATGGGAAGAAAAAAGAAATATGATCTTACTTCTAAGCAACTGAATGATGACTGCAATTTTGGACTACTAACTACTTGTAAATTGAAAAATGTCATTAGAATTCCATTTTGGGGTGGTAGAAAGTGTCCTGGTGCAGGAATTAGGAAATTTCTATCATAATCCAGCTACCATGTAGCTGTGTGACCTTAATAAGTCACTTTATGTCTTGGAGACTCAGTTTCCTTTGCAAAATAAGGATCGCTGAGTAGATGACAACTAAACCTCTGTGGTTGTGTGATGCATAATAACTTAAAAGGGTTGGACCTAATCATCTACTCAGAAAAAAAAAATGGATTAAGGTTGTCTATCCAGAGGTTCCCAAACTTATTTGGCTTACTGCCCCCTTTAAAAAAAATTACTCAGTGCCCCCCTGGAAATCTACTTTTTTTAACCCTTTAATGTTTTTTTTCTAATTTGCATCACCCAAGGCTACTACCACCCCTGGATAATTCCATTGCCCACCAAGGGACTGTATTGCCCATTTTGGGAACCTATGGTCCAGACCAGACCATAATATGCAATTGGATGGACAATTCATAGAGCTGGTCCATTTTTAATTTATACACGCAAGTGTTTATTAAACATTTACTATGGACAAGACACTGTGACTTATATACTACGTATCTTGTACAGAAACTACAGATAGAGAATGCTTGAGGCTGTGAATTCGGAAGGAAGTAGATAACAGGCTATATTGCATTTAAGAAATCAGACAATACTTCCAACGACCCACGAGCTTTCTCTGAAACAAAACCTATCTTATTAACTCCAACATTCTTCCAGGGATGGTATATGCCTGTGAATCATTGAAGATAGCCTTCTCTGAAAGATCCAAATTATAGGTCAGCCAAAGGGCAATAGAAAGATGCATAGTAGGAAAAATTAGATAACCAATAAAAATTACACCCAAGAATTAGCTTAAAAGATATTGAAAGAGTAGCACAACTGGGGGAGGAATAGGGAGAGGCATAAAGAAATAGAACGAGGGATAACCATCAGGGAAACCTCTATGTGGACCTGTGTAATCTTAAGAGATCTAAAAAGCAGCCCTGTAGCACACAGGGTAGACTAGATGGCATGGACAAGAATCACATAGAATGAAAAAGCTACACTGTGTTTCAGCATGTACCCCTAAAGGGAGTTCCTACATCAGTGAGATTACAGATCTATTGATATATCAAAGTACGATTTTTGTATATTATTTGAGAAATTAGCTTCATTACTTTGTATGTTGTCTTTTATAATATTTTTGTGCTTAGATCCAATCATCTCATCTACCTAGCTTATTATAGAACTTTGGATCAATGTGGATTATAGGCATTAAGTATTTTCTATTTTTCAAAATAAATACTCTATATTAATGAGATAAAAGGTATTACTTACACTTAGGACCTCCAAACCTTTGTCTCTTTTGAAGAAAAGCAATTATCTATATGACTGACTGGACTACTTGGTATAGAGGAAGGGGTCCTGTTATTTTGGTTGCTGAGGTATAACTACCATTGGTTCTCTGATTTCTTAGTAATTGCTCTGCAAACTATTGATTAAATTGAACAAATATTCTTAAGCAACTACTCTATGCAAAGCACAGCACTAAGTGCTAGGGATATAAATTTAAAAATGAAACTTCCCTGACCTCTACATCCAACTGCAGTCACAATGTCAATTGAACCTGTTATATAAGCCCAGTCTCTCCACATGCTACTCGGTCCCACTATTATAGACTGACAGAATGCATTCATTATGACCTTTTTCCCTCTAGGACTTTTTTCAGAGTATCCTTCACTTCTGTGTTCCGGAAGCTGTAGATCAGTGGGTTTAGCATGGGAATGACAAGGCTATAAAATACAGAGACCACTTTGTTGTATTTCCAGGAATTTCCTGCTTTTGGCTGCTGGAGATACATGAAGAAAAGAGTCCCATAGAAGATAACGACCACTGTCAGGTGGGAGGCACAGGTGGAGAAGGCTTTGCACTTACCCTCAGAGGGATGGATCTTCAGGATGGAAACTAGAATGCAAATATAGGAAACAAGAACAGTCAGAAGGGAACTAGTGAGATTCAAAGCAGAGAAAATCAAGAGCTGTTTCTCCTTAGAGTGAATGTCTGAACAAGACAGTGCCAGGAGTGGTGGGTCAGCACAGTAGAAGTGATGGATAATGTTGGAATCACAAAAGGATAACTGGAAAGTCAGAATGGTTTGTATTACTGAGTTCAGGAAACCATAGGTATACACACCAATCACCAACTCACTGCAGACCCTTTTGGTCATGATGGCTGTGTAAATCAGAGGGTTGCAAATAGCCATGTAACGATCATAGGCCATTGTGGCCAAGAGGAAACACTCTGTTGTGGCAAAAGCACTCGAGAAGTACAGCTGTGCGAAGCATCCTGAGAAGGAAATGGTTTTCTTCTTCACAACTAAGTTTTGTAGCATCTTGGGCCCAATAGAAGATGAGTAACAGAGATCAATGAAGGCAAGGTGGCTAAGAAAATAGTACATGGGAACATGAAGGCGTGAATCAAGCTTGATTAGGAGAATCATTCCAAGGTTTCCAATGAGAGTGAAGAGGTAAATTGCTAGGAACATTACAAAGAGGGGAACCTGAAGCTCCGGACGATCCGTGAATCCCATGAGGACAAATTCTGTCAAAGTAGTACGATTTCCTCGGGCCATTTTTTTTTCCTGGAACTTTTTTCTGTTGCCAAAAAAGAAGAAATTTGCCTTTAAATATATTCTGCCAGATAGCAAAAGGTGCTGAAGAGTAATCTTACTTTTCTATTCTCTATCAATGGCGAAAGCTAAGGATTAAAAGACCCTCCATAATCCTATGGGTTATCCTATCTCATTCTTCAAATGTAGAGACTGATAGAGGGTACTGCTGGATCAGAAACTCCTTTCAATTCAGGAACATACCCTCTCTGCAATATATAGTCAGAGAACTGCCTAAAGCACAGGGTCATATAGCCTGGATGTGTCAATTGCAGGACTTAAACCCAGGACTTCTTGGAATCAGGACTGAATCTCTATCCACTACATAATACCTTGCCTACTTTCTCTCTCTCTCTCTCTCTCTCTCTCTCTCTCTCTCTCTCTCTCTCTCTCTTCATGTAATTCTGAAAAGTTAATTTGTTTTTGTTCCTTTAATATTCTCATTATATGCTTGCCAAAGAAATCTTCTTAATATATAGGCCAGAGATCAGACCACATCACTCTACTGATCAAAAATTTTCACTAGGTCTCTATTGCTAATTGAAGAAAACACAGATGCTATAGCTAGGTAGGAAAGGCCCTTCCTAATATGTCTCCAATACTCCATACTACCCTTTTTTGTACTAAATTAGATTACTTACCATTAATCAATATAATCCTGTCCTCTTCTAAGTCTGTACATACATGCAATCCATTCTTATAGACTCCCTCCTCATCTCTGCCTTGTGAAAACCTGTTATTTGCTCAGGGGCTTGGTTCAGATGCCATTTCTTCTTTGAAGTCCTCTCTGATCCCCCAATCTCTCCAGTCATTCTGTTTGGCTTATACTGTATTTATCTTAATAATAACAACTCATATTTAGTTGGGAAATAAAAGTTTACCAAGTGCTTTCCTCATGACATTGTGGGGTAGGTGATATAAATATTATCCCTGTTCTCCAGATGAAACTGAGACACAGAAAAGTCAAGTAATTTGCCTAAAGTTACACAGCTAGTGAGTCTTATTGCTAGGAGCTTGAACTCATGCCTTCTTTCTTCAAGGTCAATGTTGCTGCTGTCTCTCTTATGTATTTCATTATATTTTTAACTTCTATTATATTTATTTATGTATATCTCATCCCCCATTCCCCTTACTGGACTATAAACTCCTTAAGAACAAGACACAATATCATTTTTAAAAAATCTTTCATAGCTTCTTCAGAACACAGTACAAAAACTTTTATTTTGTACACCCACCACAGGTAGGTAGTAGCAAAATATTGAATTGAATTTAAATTTTTGCTGGGGAAGAGAAATTTTGTCTTTGCTAGATATTTATTGCTATAATTTTACTACTAGAAGGAGGCTTCCTTTATAATCTTCTCTCAGAATAGGCACAGAAAGCATCTTGAGCATTTCTAAGCATACAATGTAAAGGTTCTGGGCCATAGGAAATGGAGAAAAATCTCTAGGAATTGTACAATAAGAAACAGCAAATACCTTTCTAAGTAACTTTAATCACCTACTCTTTGGGCGTGTCATTTTTATGGTTAATGGAGCCTGATTTTGTTTTGTTATTTTTCTCTTATACTAATAGCTTTCCTAAAAACCATGAGATGTTTAGAGGCTTGAGATGAAGGATTTAACTCTTTATAATGATCTAGAAGTATTTTTCCTCAGTGAATATATTCTTTATTTTATTCCACTAAAATTCAAGAAAATGAAAGAGTATGGCATGGTAGATAAAATGCCACATTTAAAATTAGGAAGATTCAGCTTCAAATTCCACCTTTACTGATTACTTAAATTGTGTGACCCTGGGGAAATCATTTTACCTCTCTACAACTCAGGTTGTGGTTGTTGTTGTTTTTTGTCCTTCATTCTTGAAGAGGACCATGATATCATGGAGGTGATGCCTTGACATGTGAGTGAATTGGATTTAAGTGTGGGAGGACTGTGCAAAGTTTCTTTCTTCTCTGAAGCCATCTAGGTCCAGTCGTCAGATGCATATCAAGATGACTGAAGATGGCCCTAGATGTGGTGGAAGACGTTGGCCTTTTAAAGCTAAGGTCTTTAGCAGGTCTCAGTTTGACTGAAGCAATGTCCACAACTCAGACAACTTCCTTGGATTGTTCTACTAAGTTATACGTGTTTTGCATTTCGTGTTAGACAGGGAGTTCCCTACTGGAAGCTCCTTATCACAGATGAGTCAATAAGATTTCATAAGCACTTACCATGTGCCAGGCGCCATGCTAAGTGCTGGGGACACAAAGAAAGACAAAAATATCCAGGTCTGTCAGAAAAAATCGGAAACTTTTTCATATTCTACTGTTTCTTAGATAATATGGATCAAATCATTTCCCTCTTATCATACGCATGCTGCTGCATAGTATATTTATTCCAGAATTATAGCTAAGTCTAGAATGTGTATATTTTCTCTGTTCCTTAGAACTAATATTAAAAACATATTTTACAAAAATTGGGATGGGGGAATTTCACCAAATTCCAAATGTTTGTGTTTGGCTAACGATATACACGAGAAGTATGTGAAATTTTATAAAATTATCATGTCCATTTAAAAAATTTTTTCAATCAAGTAACCAATCAACCAATATTTATTGAGTTCCTTCTTCCACTTACTAGCTCTGTGATCCTGAGTTAGTCAACTTTTCTGAGGCTCAGTTTACTTATCGGAAAAATGGAAACAATATTAGCATGGCCTACTTCACAAGGCTGTTGGGAAGAAAATGCTTTGTAATTTAACTATGATAATGATGATTATGTGAATTATTTTATTGTATCTAAAATGAAACATTTCTTCCACATAAAAAGTGGAGGAATTTCCAACCAATTCTTCTTTTCTGGAAAATATCTGTCAAAGTTCAGTAATAGGTCCCTTTGGTCTGCCTTGGTGGAGTATATTAACACCAAACTATTGCTTTCTCAGAACTTGACATAACTATGGATTCCAGGACAATTGCAAGGATCACTTTTGAATGATCATTTTTTGTTCAATTAACAGTTTTCTGCCTTAGAGAACAGGGTTTGATACAACCACTTCTCTAAAACTCAATTCCTCATCTGTAAAAAAAAATGATGGTAATGATAATACCTACCCAGAGAATTCCTGTAAGACTCAAATAAGATAATTTGTGTAAACTGTTTTATAAATTATAAGGAACTATAAAAATATAGACTATAATTTTTATACATTTTTGAAAATCAATATTTTAAAGTGCCCAAGACATACTAAGTGTTCATTTTTGTTTAATTGAATCTAATGGCACTCATTGCTGATGTGTACATAGGCATTTGCTCCTATTTACAATTGATTTTTTCAGTCATTTCATTTCTTCAGTGGCAAGATAACTGATTTTGGAGTGAGAGGAGCTGGTTCAAATAATGCTCCTTGTAATTTTTGACCTGTATGACTTTGAGCAAGTCACTTCTCGTCTCTGGACCTTATCTTCCACCTCTTTAAAATGAGTGGCTTAACTTGGATGGCCTCTGAGGTCCCTTCCAGATCTGAAACTAGGACTTTATTCTTTATTCTTTCATTTCATGATTTTGATTTTTTGTTCAAACATTACTTCCAAGAAGTAAAACCACGAAGCTACAATGTTGCCTAATTATAAAGCCACTCTTACACTGTTAGGCAAGGACTAGCTAACAAATAGTGTTGAACTTTCCAATTTTAGTATATTTGCCAATGCTCATTGATCTCTTCCTTCATACATATATTCATATTATTCATGAATCCCACTCAACTCCATTTGATGATTACTCTGTAAGCTTTATTTAGTTAGTCAAACTAAAATACCATGTCTACTTCCCACAAATCAGCATGGCAGAGAGGAAAGTCATAAGGTCTTTTCTCCTTGTGCTTTCTCCAAAGGGAAGGATAGAATTTGCTTTTTCATGGAATAATAATAGTTAACCTTTATACAGCATTTTTCAGTTTACCATGTACTCCCCTCCCAACAACTCTTCAAGTTAGGTAGTACAAGTATTAACATTCCCATTTTATGGATAAGGAATCCAAGATTCTGAGAAGTGCAATAACTTGCTGAAGTTCATACAAGTTGCTAAGTGTCATAGCCAAGACTCAAAATTCTGGCCTTCTGACTCCAAGCCCATTGTCTTTTCCCATTCTACCAGTGTTGCCTCTGAACTGGGAACACTAATAATAACCACAATAATAATAATGTTAAATCACGAAAATAATAATTTACATTTATGTAGGGTGTTAGTTTACAAACTGTGTAGAATCAGATGATCAGGGCTACAGTCCCAGTTAGTCTACTCGTTACCTTGATAACTTTGAGCAAACCACTATACTTCCTCATTCTTACAATGAAGTAATCTCTAAGATCCCATCCAGCTCTAGAAAGCCCTATGATCCTATAAGTGAATCTTGTCAAAAATTCCAATAACAACTTTATAATCCCCTTACTCTCTTCTATTTGTAAAAGAAGCAAAACTTTCCCTAAATAGTATCACCAGGGCCAGGTAGTTCACCTGCTATTAGTAAGCTCAGAGCCCAAGTACTTTTCTTTCCTGACCTATGATTTTCTCTACCTGCAACAAGTTAAAAGTGCCATAAGAGTGAATACAACTCACCAGCCACCTATAGGAAGAAAGTTAGACAGGCTTCCCAGATTGCATTTAGCACGTCCACTTGGTGTAATTCCAACAAAACAAATTGGATCCTTCATGCTTTATTTGTCCCTTACGCACAAGCAAGCCCTCGAGTATTTGTGTATAATGAGTTTGTTATTCCAGAGCTTTCTCTCTACCAAGGGAACAGTTTATTAAGAGTTCATTGGGGGTACTTTATATTTGGTTTAAAAGACCCTGAGGAATTGAAATCTCTGAATCATCTCCAACTAGAGGCAGAAAGCCAGTAGTAATACTTTTGCACCTGCATCCTAGCATCATTCATGTACAGCCTTGGGATCTGAGTCAGAAAGATCTTGAAATAATGTT